ACCACCCCCGCATCGAACCACGTCACCAGCCGCGCACCTCCAAGTTCCACACGGGACGCGACCGTGCCGATCCCATGGACGGCCTGCCGGCACATAACCGATGTCTAAAAGAAGCTCCAAAAAAGGAAGTCGTGTCGAGTTCTAACGAAGGGCCGTTTTGACGGAGTTTGGAAGATTTGGGATTGCCAAGAACCATAGGAACATACCTGAAAAGAGGCTCCAAATCACTGCTGTCAATCCAACAAAGCAACCCACATCACCGGGGCATTCGCCCGTTCGGCCGCATGTGCCACGCGGTCGGACGGAGAGGATCCGGATTCCGGACCTCATGCTGACATCGCGGATGCTGGGCCCGCCCCTCGGAGACGATGAGAGGATGGAGAGAAACGAACTGGCTCTGTCTTCGCAGTTTCTGAACACTCCAAGCTAAGTGTTAATGATGTGATCAATGTGATCTTTCCAACAATCCCACCAGGAGGTCATCGGACTTTTTCCGGTGACATGAAAAGAATATGTTCCAAGGGAGTAGGTGATGCAATTGGGTCTATCCTATTACCTGTACCAGTGGATGGTGATGGATCAGCTGCAGGCCTGTTTCATCAGTTTTTTTAATTGTGAAAATTGTTTATATGATTGTTATTGATTGTTAAAGGTAGAATAGGACAGACCCAAGTGATGTACATGAAGGCAGTGCTCTGAGCGGGACATCCAAAAGGCGTCACCGACCGACCTTTTCTTTTCTGTGTCGGCTCGGTCTGTTTCTTCAGCGGTGATATCGAATCCACGTGATAGCGATTGTTGTTGAACGGATGTGAAAGGGAGACGTCAAGCGATTTCAACTGTGCCAGCCAATTGATGCTGTACCGTGGATCCACTCAATGCAGGGTCCAACAAGACACGTGTGAGACCCCTGTTTACTTGCCGTGGGGGTGTGGCTGTGTCATTTTTTTTGACCCGACGTTTACTTCAAGGAATTCTTCAAAGACCTGATTCTATTGTTCATTCAGGGTTGCTTGCAAAGGTGCTGGTTGGGTAAGGATCTCTTCAGCTGCTGCTGTTCATCTTTCATCTTTGGTGGGATCCTCTTGACCTGATGATCCAACCATAGCAAACAAATACGCACTTGGTAACCCCGTTTGGGAAGTTTTGACCATGTCAGATAGCTTCTCAAGCAGCGCGGAATTCTAGAACACTCCCCAAAGCAGGGGAAACCACCCAACACATTCCAACACTTGCTTGAAACACACATCCCAAAAGTGGGCAATTCTCCGGCAGTGTGGGACCCCTTCACCCCAAATTCCTCATGGGACGCTTCTCTCCCGCCGCCCCAGGCATGCATACGCATGACGCGCAACTCTCTGCGGTCTCGCAGCTTCCGCTCCAGAAACTTCTCGCCCGTCTGATTTTCAGCATGCTGCGCCTCCGGGTCCCACGCAGCGAAGGAGACACGAGACGCGCGTCCCGCGACCGAGACCCAAAGAGACGACCGCGACGAGTCCGTGAAGACGACGTCGGGTTCACCCATACAACAAAACATAGGAATGACATGGTCTAAGGGTATGAACATTCTAGCGGCCCGCACCTGTTCGTGCGTCTTTTTTGTATACCAATCTCAGGTCAAAATCCTCTCCCTCTCTGTGAAACAGCAACCAAAACTCATACACTATACGTATATATCATTACTGTAAGAACATTCGTGAAGGTGAAGGTGAGTCACAAGACACTAGCCTCCAATGCACCAAAAACGTAACTATCAACTTACGTTTTTGTGCATTGGATCAAGAAACGAAAGGTTGCTTGCGAATGCTTGCGATGGCTAATGAGTTCTCGAGCTTTTGGACTTCGTCGAAGAGTACCTTCTGCAATAGATCCCGGAGGTCACCTAATCTGAGCTAATCTGCGGATGGTGATATGCTCAAGACTCAGTTCAGATCTTGGGATGGTTTCCAAGAATTCAACCTGAGGCCACTGAGAGCGTCAAGCTTGACACGGTCAACTTTGGCGAACTCGACTAAGATAAGAACAACAAACTTCTCTGCAAAGGACTCAAGATAAGCATACACACATACCGCAAAAAAATGATCATATCCAAAAAACAACCAGTGAGTTGGTGGCTCAATACAGCATTGGGGCCATCATCGATTTCTTGGGTTCGTTCCTGAAGCACTCGAAATCACCTTCCAAATGCTTCGCCCTTTCGCCTTGATCTCCTCCTCGTTCTCTCGGCTGCGCACTTGCTTCTGGACCTGCTACGACGAAAAAAACTCCCAGAGGCAGCGAGAGCCATCTTCAGGTCTGGGTCTTCAAAGTTCCTCTGAAATTTGACTAGCAAGAAGCTATTAGTAGCTAGAAGCTACTAGGTGGAGGTGGAGGCCATCGCTATTGCGGTGGAAGCCATCGCTACTACATAGTAGCAAGAAACTACTACAGTAGGTTGGAGGTTTCTCATTCCCAAAGATCAACGGCCGTCGGCAGCCGCAACATGCCGCAACCAGCTGGTTCCTTTGGGCCGTAGTTTGGACTTGCTACTGAGGGTGCTTGGTAGCCTAAGCCAGGTGCAAGCATGTGTCAATGCTCCCATATACGCATACACACACAAGGATCGCGCGGGGCCTCCTTGAAGTCTCGGATGACGCCCTCGAAGCACTCCAAGTCGTGGCTCTTGAAGAATAACTCCTGCCGGAAATTAATATTTAAAGAAACCTTGGACATCCTGGTCGTGTCCGGACACAACCGGACAGGGAAAATGCTTTGGCAAAGGCGTTGCTTAGGATAGTCAGGCTGGCAAAATACAGTCACGGCATAGTGGTGCACAGGTCATTGACCAAGAATCCGGCATGCAGCTATGGGGGTAAACTTGGCACATGTAGATACGGATTCAGTCACGACGAATCATTGATAAATATTGATACGCTTCACCCCGATCACGGATTCCAAGCATATGTATGCATATGTCGAACTTTTGGCAGGGGGTGATGGATGGATGGATGGATGGATGGATGGATGGATGGGCCTCTACTTAAAATGAATGAGGGGCCCTTTCCACTTGATTGGCCAACTTAACCACCCGAAGAAAAGCGGCAACTTCACAGCAGCTGGATGTGGTGCGACATACAGGTCCTTCACATAGACCGTCTTTGTGTTGGCCACAGGGAAGTCAGAGCGGCCCTGCCGAAGACACGATGTCTCACTGCAAGCTGTTATCAGATCCCTTACCCAAAGAATCTACGGTTGCTTGCCATTGTCCGGTTTTCAGGTTGAAAGCGAGACGACAACCACCTCATCTTGTCACCTGTGAAATTCCACCACCGTCTCATGTATTCAGTATTCCTTGCCGCCATCCGAGTGATCCACGAGCAGCGCGGGCCTGTCACCTTAGTCTATAGTAGTGACCCCCTCCGAATCAATCATGTCTTAGCACATTCACATTTCACAGTGGAGCGCAGTCGATCCGCATATTTTTCCATGCACATTAGCGCAGGTGGCCTCGGCCACAGGCGTGCGCCCGCGGGGATAGGCGCGCACCCGCGGTCGTGCCCCATGGCAGTCCAAGGTGTGGCTCAGGTTTCGGCGGAAGCTGCGCAGGAACACCCAGTCCTGCTGGTGGCCCTAGTGATCTTTCCAAAAACTTACCAGGGTAATCTAATGGGTGTCAAATGGAGGTCCATAAGCAGTGTACGGTAGTCTATTGGACACCCATTGGATGATCGATGACCCAAATAAAGACTAAACAACTATTAAATTCATTTACACCTATATAGTAGGCAAGCGCAAGGTGGACATAGGAAACATATCCATTTCATGTCCCTATCTATATCGGCCATCCTTCGGCTACCCTTCAGTTGTACCAGTTATATCCATGCGGATGCTCACGTTCGACACAAACCCAAACTTCTGCCGAAACCCACGCCGAATACATGCTGCAGCGTGCGCTGCTCAGCTGCGCCTCAGACGAATGGTCGGCGGGCTGCGCGTGTCGGTGTGGCGACGATATCTTGGGCACCTTCCAGGCAAATGTCGATTCATAAGGTCGAAGATGTCGAAGGGTCCGCAAGATGGTCAATTCCATGGGCTATGCGATGCGGACCTTCTGAGAACTCGCTCATGACTTGACGGGTCCTTTCTCGTCGAAATGACCAAAGCACAATATCATATTGCTTTCACCTCAACCAGACTCACAAAAAACCCTTGAGATCCGGTGGATTCCGATGGTGGGCGTGCTAGTTGGTATTTTTAATGGCCGCGGGCCATGTGGTCCGACAACTCATTTCCACATGGGTTACGGTCCCGTGGGTTTTTCATGGAACGGCGCCTGCTGGAGTTGGGCGCCGTGGAACCGACCACAGGCGCCTTCTTCCATCACGTAGAGTCTACGTCATAGACTCCCGCTGTGAACACGAACAGAACAACAAACAGGACCAAGAAAGAAACACATCCACCGGGCGGTCCAAAAAGCCTCCACGATTGCTGAGACCTGAAATCGGTGCCAGGCTCCGTCTCACTCGCAGCAGAGCTTGTAGTCAAACGAACTAAGGCCTTGGATCAGCTGCGGAGACTGCAGGGATCGACGGATCCTAAGAAGTGAGACATAGGGATCGACCTGGAGACGGTGGGACCTGCAGGTCCCTAAGAGAGGACTCTGCAGGTAACTGGAACCTTGATCAAATAGATGCAGGTCCTTAAGCTGAGATGTTTCTTCCGTTTTCGGGTTTTCCCAGGGTTTGGACGAAATCATGATACCGGTTTGTCAAGCACCCCGTCATATGTGGCTGTGCGCCTATGAGTTTCACCAGTCTGGGGAGTTTCACCCATCGAACTTGGGGAACTTGGGCCCTCTATATATGCTTGGTGTTGCGCCCTACATATAAGTAATAAACTAAGGTAATTATATAGCATAATCATACATGTATTTCATTGCATTTCTAAGTATAAGACAACAGTCATAAGAATTCCACTGCAACACAAATAGGTTTTCTCCACGTCATCGAAGCCATCCTTCCTCAAAGCCACATGGCTTTGCACCACGTCTTTGCTATGTGCACTACTCCGTCAGTCGTGCACGTCAGTCGTAGGAGCTCCCGGCAAATGGCAAAGGCTTGGAACGGAGAGAAGGGAAAGCGGAAGTCCATGTTGAAGACATCCTGCCCGGTCAGACCGGCACCGAAACGGACCCCCGAAACGGAAGAACGACCGGCACGAGTTCGTCTTTCGCCCTGCACGGATGACGCACGAAAGCAGCGATGGTGAGAAGACGGTCGAGTACATGGTCAAAGTTGGGCTTGACACGGCTTGTCCTGCTCTCGTTCAGAACTTCTGGGATCAAGAAACCATGAGGAATGCATCCCACACTGATCCTTGCTGGGTCAGTCTCTGCCCTTTGAGCATGGGCGGAGAGACTGATCCGCGAACTGTAACCATAGCTACTTAATGGTTAGCTTTTCTCTTGACAATTTTTTCACCCCTTGAACATCACCGACATTTTGAGAGGCAAAACGTTGATTTCTTTCATGGCGACTCTGCTGGCCCTTCATAAAAAACCTACAACATCTACAACACCTATCACTCACTGCAGGTTGTTCAACAGGATGACCGGATTCGTCTCTAACGAAGAAAATGCCCGACCGCATCGGCTCGTTCGTCGTTTGCCCGATCGTTCGTGGAGTCTGGACTCCTCGCCTTGCCCACTCGTCCAAACTGTAAGAAGACCTGACGTCATGAGGCGATTCCTTCTTGTGGCGTTCGGGGCAAAACTTTGAAGTGAAAAATGATGACAGAGGTGGATGACCTCTAGGTGGTTTGTGGAGGATGACAGAGGTGGCAACTTTGGAGTGAGACCTTTGGTCCAACAGTCAGTATCAGTATCAGTCAAGAACCTGGCCGTTTTTCTCAGAAAGAGGAACTGTAAAACCAGCGAAGCAACACTAAAAAGCTCGAATGATCAAACCTCTCTTTCGTGCCACTTGAAACCAAAAAGAGGAACTGTGCATGCTTCTGCTACCGCATTCCAACCGCATTTCCACACAAAAAAACACAGAGAACGAACAGGCCGCGACAAACCAGATCTCCGATTCCCACCGGATCCGGTTCGATCCGCGCCGTGTCGGGGTCGTCCACGGTGGTGAGCTGGAAGTTCTTCACCGACGCCTGGCGGTGGCGTTTTTGCCTACGCCCAGTTTCTGCTTGTGGTAGCGGTGCTGAAAATGCCACACTACCCGACCCAGTATGATAAGGAGAAATCCAAGATCCCTGTGGTGACATTTCGGGACCTAGGACCTAGATCTTGGCGAGGTATTGCTGTCCGGACTCTGAAATAACATAGATCAGGTGTCAGTCCATTGCCCCAGAATATCATAGCTCATGAGAACATCTTCAGGTTTTTAAATGGGTATGGCATGTATAATATCTTGTTTTTTGGGATGCTCTTGCTACCACTCAATTACTCCTCCTCTCTGACCCCTCTGACCGGGCCATCCCCTTCTCCTTCCTCGACCTCGCCTGTGTCACTCGCTTGTTGAAGTTCAAGACAAAGGCGCCCACCTGCTCGTTCCACTTTGGAGGCCTCGGTAGTGGGGCTTCCGAGGCATTGCGGGAAAACCTGCGGTAGGCGAATTGATGTGACAAGCTAAGGATGACAAGCCGACATGGATTCTTATATATGGAAAATCATGACTTGCAATGCTCGACGCAGCTTGGCCGGGTGTGCACTTTTCCAAAGCTTCACCTTAGAAGCCTTAGCCACTGTCTATGTTTGAATCCAGTGGAGCTCAAGCTCGGCATTTCGGAGCTGAACTCCCCCAAAAAGGTTGGTTCACGCCCTTGCGTCACTGTCCTAAGACCCACCCAGAAAGGGTGAGTTTCAACACGATCCACTTCTGATGTGCAAACATCTGTAAACCCCAACATGTGCGGCTCCCTAGTGATACGGACAACATCCTGTATCACCTACAAACCATGGGTATTCCATGGTATTCCTACATACCCCATGGGTATCCTTGAAGACTATCAACTGATGGTGTGCTGAATGGGGAACGTTGTTGTGGCTTTGAGCATCTTTGAGGATGGTGTAACAAAGTCCAGGGAAGTGTGCGCTTCAAATGTACACTTCTGCTGAGTGGTCACTGAAAAACGTGTGACAAAGATTCAAAAACTCAGGCATGCTTTCCTTGTAGGGCTCTCTTTTTTTGGACTCTAAGTCTCAAGTGAGTTGACGGGAACCCTGACACCTCCACAAGTCACCAATTTGCAGTATACCGTATACCTGGTTTAGGAAAGACATGTTAAGTAGGTCACTGCCCATGCCAATGCCAATCCCTTTGGTCCCAGTATGTCCAAATCAACGGTGACTTAGGACGACCACAAAGACGCTGTGTTGGGGGTCACCGCGCACTGGGCACCGGCACTTGTTGTGGAAGGTGTGGATATGGCTGGTATTGTTGGCCTGGAGCAACGGCACAGAAACCAAATCTGCGCACTGGAGAAGGGAGAGTGGCTGCCGACCAAAAAAAAGCTGCAGCCTCAGGCCGTGATTTGCTTGATGAAACTCCACAAGTGGCATGTTCCATCCGTTTGGTCATCCTATTGCATGATGAACATCGGTTGACCTCGTCTGCACCCTGTCAAACAGGGCGTGAAGTGCCAACATGTATACTTTGGACTTTTGTGGGGGCCATGCACAAGATGTAGAGAGTTCTCATCGAAGACTCTGAGAGTTCTCAGCATCATCATTTGCAAATGGTCCTTGTCAAACAATCGCAGCACGTCCCAGTTTGCACCTTGCAGGTTGGTCAGGAAACCTTGCAGGTTTGTCCGAAACCTTGCGTGCTTGTCTTGGCTTACATGCCTTGTTCTTGTTGTGGCAGAAGTCCTTCTTTTCGATGAAGTTGGCACGTCTCTCGACCCCCCCCAGCAGCGGATCAGTGTACCATCCCCAACACGTCCTCTGTACCGTTGGTCATCAAAACGTCTTCCCCAACAGTTCAGGTCGTCCACCTGCATTTGTCGTCACCTCCAATACTAATAGCGATGGCCTCCAACCTAAGAGCTATATATAGAACTCCAAGAACTCTTCTAGCCAGGGCCAAACAGCAAGCCAAAACTCTGTACTCCTGCTAAATACTCAAAATTGCTTTGTGAATCTTCAATCCCACACCCCAAAAAGTCAACACGCATCGGGTAGCAGCCTTCTGGAGGGCCACAAGGCCTTCAGTATCTGGATGTAGCGTCCTGCAGAAACTCAACAAGTCCAACGGGCTTGAGTCTTGGTTGCGCATGTGGGCACCCATAACTCATGACTGATTGATAACTTAACCCAACCAGCAAGTTCACCTTTGGACAGTCATATTACTGCCTTCAGTCAGAACAATCCGCATGACCCCCAACTGGTTCATGGGGGCCTTCTTGTGGTGTTCGGAACCGCCAGCCATGACTGTTACTTATTCTTTTTCAACTTCTTGACATGTCATAGAAAAAACCATTCATGACTTCAGGCTACTACCTAGCACTGACCGAACAGGATGGTGTATGCACAGTTGCGTCAAACGCACGGTGTTGCACAGTTGCATCTCTACTCTCGCGTGTCTGTCACGTGTTTTTTTCCAGCCTGCAAACCAACCGTTCGCCGTTGGGCTGCACCTTAGGGATCACCTGGACAGAATCGCAGGTGGAATCCATGGAGTGGCAGGGAGCTTGGCTGGTGAGCTGCTGAAGGCAAGCTTCACTTCGTGAGTGTTATAGACCCTTGTGTTATAGTCCTTGGCTGGTAGAGTGTCAACGGGGAGTCCCTGCAGCTAGGGGTGGTTCAATGGGGCTCCGGGTTTATTGCGTCGGTAAACGGTGTTTTTTGCGACGGTGCACATGTACCGGTGTTTTTTGCGTCGGTGCTGGAACGGTGTTTTCTGCGTCGGTTGGCCGGTGTTTATTGCGACGGCCCCGGGGTTTGTCGCGTCGGCAAACAGTGTTTTCTGGGACGGTTGGTGTTTTTTGCGTCGGTAACGGGTGTTTTCGGCGTCGGCTGCCTCCTCCTCTTCCTCCTCCTTCTCCTGCTCCTGCTGCTGCTCCTCCTTCTCCTCCTCCTTGTTCTTCTTCTCCTCGTCCTGCTCCTCCTTCTCTTCCTCCTTTCCTCCTCCTCCTCCTCCTCCTTCTCCTCCTCCTCCTCCTCCTCCAACTCCTCCTCCTCGTCCTCCTCCTTTTCCTTGGCCTCTTCCTCCTGCTCCTCCTCCTCCTCCTGCTCCTCCTCCTCCTCTTCTTCGCCTCCTCCTCTTCCTCCTCCTCCTCCTTCTCCTCTCTTCTTCCGCCTGCTCCTCCTCCAGGCGCTGCGCCCTCCCCCCGATCCATCCCTCCCGCTTTTTTATTGTAGCAACTCCCGTATACGCAGTACCCACCGTAGCAACACCAACAACAACAGCAACAGCAACAACAACAACAAAGGTCTTCCATGTCTGCAGTCCGGGGGGAGGCGCTGCGCGCCGTGCGATCGCCATCATCATTATCCCAAGCCCCATCCGCATCATCATCATTAACATCATTCTCATCATCTTGGTCATCATCTGCATCATCATCAGCATCATCATCATCATCAACATCATCTTCTTCTTCCTCTTCATCATCATCATCTTCATCACCATCATCTTCATCATCATCTTCTTCGTCATCATCATCATCATCATCCTCAGCCGCATCATCATCACCATCATCAGCATCTTCATCATCAGCATCATCATCATCATCATCATCGTCATCATCATCATCATCTTTTCTTCTTCGTTATCATCATCCTCATCATCATCCGCAGCCTCATCATCATCACCATCATCAGCATCATCAACAGCATCACCATCATCATCCTCATCCTCATCCTCCTCATCATCTGCGTCATCATTAGCATCATCTGCATCAACATCACCATTTTCATCATCCTCATGACCATCATCAGCCTCCTTATCCTACTACTACTGCTACGACTTCTTCTCCTCCTCCTTGTCGGTCGCCCGCCGGCCCAGGTGGACACGAGGATGGTAGACCTGAGAGAATGACCGGCTGCATGGCGTCCAGGTTGGAAGAAGGAAAAGGGCATGTCATGCGCAAGGAGATGCTGCGCAGTAAAGCAGTATTGCAGTTTGAAAGGCTTAATTGAAAGACCTGACATGAGGAAGCTGAAGCTCGAAATTTAAAGAAACTAAAAGTAGAACAAGGCTGTTACACAAAGAAAGCACTGTCAGCGAAGTTGCGGCACAAACTTTTCAGCAGCGTGATGGACCTGCACCAACGGCTTTCTTTGAAGCAAATCACCCTGTACGTCTGCGCCGTTTCCGCGGCGGCTCAGCAGCAGTTGTTCGACGCCCGGTACGCTTGCGAGCTTTTGGGACATCATTGAGCAGTAATGAGTCCGAAGGGAATGTCGGCAGCGCCAAGCTGCGAAGGAACGTCGAATGCTCGCACTGGGCATGCATTGTTGCGGCAGCACAAGAACAAAGGAGGGACGTCGGCCGCGCCCGCACATACACAACATCTTCAAAGTGAAAGCGAAGGGCCTGCAATGAAAGATTGCCGGAATCGTCAAACAACTGAGGCAAACTGTTTGCATGCAGCAGCGTCGGCTGAAGAAGGAACCGCAAGATTCCCTGCGCCAAGCTACGATTCACCGGCGATGTGGCGGCAGTGGCTGCACAGGCAACCCACGAATGATCTGTGGACTGTTGAAGGACATAGCACGAGTTCGGTGGCAACTTGGAGAAGTTGGCTGCTGTAGTGCGCCCGGCTCGCGCTAAAGCCGCACCATTGACTAACTGAGGGTCCTGTCCGGCCGGCTGAAAAGACAAAGGCGAAGCATCCATCCAAGAGTACCAGTCTTGCCAATGTTGTGTGTAGAGCCTTTGTAGGACGCACAAGCAATGGTTGATGTCTCCACGGCCACCGAGAGAAGCCAATTCCGTTTGCCACGCGCCATGCACAGCTTCTGCGGGCTCACTGCCGCTGCCCGATCCGGGTATAATGCCATCAAAGCCAACCCAGAAACTCACATAAATAAGATCCTGTGGGCCAGCGGCTTGCTCGGAAAAGATAGATGGCAAAGGCCGCTCGTATGATTGCAACCAATCGGCTAGAATCGGTTCATCCATGCGTCGCAAAGAAGCCAGGAAAGCTTTCCAGAGCCAGCTAAACAGAGGCAATGTCGGGATGAACCGCAGCAGCGACACCACAGTCAAGGCATAGCGCAAATGCTTTTTCACATGTTTTCCTTTGTGAAGAACAACCTGACGGCACTTGGACCGCATGACCGTGTGAGATTTTTCTTTGAAATGGAAAAAATCATCACATGCCCGAGAGTGTGGGAAGACTTCTCGACGAGCTTCTTCGGCGCTGGGGTGAAAGTCCTTGTGGATTTGAAGGCTTCGCTGCTCGGGCAGAGGCAAGCGGCTCGGCTGGCGTTCTGCCCACAAGTCGCAACAGGTCCGAAAAAGGCGGCAATAGTTGGGCTTTGTTTCGGCGTGAAAAATTGCCTGCGCAACGGGCATGCCATGCGACGTCCAAGCACGGCTTTGAGTCCGAGAGCCTTTGCCAAGTTTGGGCAAGCGCGTCTTGCGCAGCTGGTCCTTGACCAATAAGCTGACTGTGGCCACGCCCATTCCGCGGGTCAACACCTTCATCTTGGTGTCCACAGAAAGGGCGACATCTAGACCAGTGTAACGGTCAAAGGTGTTCAGCGTCCCGGGAGAAGCGAAAAGGATACAGACTTCCGTATCCGTGATGATTGGGTCCCGCAGAAGAAACAATGCATCGATTTGCTTTGGAAGGCTTCGTGGCAACTGACTAACTTCCAAAGCAACCGCTGCCACAACAGACTTGTCTTTGTCGAGGGCATCCTTGTTTTTGCGGCTGTTGTTTCTCAACCAATTGGCAAGCTGGGTGTTGTCAGGCAATGATGCATCGGCACAGCCTGCAGCTAGAAGGGCCACGCGCAAATTTTTGGCCCCACGGCCACCTCCGGAGAGGAAGCGGGCAGCAATTTCGCGCTGCTTTTCGTTGAAGATTTTCCCTGACGCACAAGGTACAGCACCGTCATGCCCGGTGTGTTCACCAGATGCCTGAACGACCAAAGTTCCAGGGCTGTACAAACTCTTGCTGAGAATGTAGTGGGTTCGCCAGCAATGGGTGCACAGTTCGCTTTCTACGCAGCGAACCTCACTCAAAATGCGTTCTTTGTTTTGCCACAAAGTCCGCACGGCCACTCTGGTGTCAGCCCATTCAGGTCTGCGGCGCAGGTGCTGCAAAAGCTGCTGGTTGGACATCAAAGGAGACCCAAGCTCCACCCGAGAAATGTCGCGCCACTGGATGGCTTGCTTCTTCTTCCTTGGTTTGGCTGGTTGATTTGGGTGGGCACTTGCACCGCCACGCGCAACTTGTGGAGACGGTTTTGCAACACGAGGCACTGCACTTTGCAAAGGTTGAAGCTCTTGCTCCCCGGAGTCCACTGCTGTGTCTTTGCTTCCACACACACCCGAATCAACGTCCACGCACCCTCCACGGCAGGTGCCTAGAAAAGCTGCATGATCAACATGTGAACGTTTTCCGAAATGGGAAAGTGGCACCCGGTGTTTCCGCAACCAATCCAAACAACCAGGAGACAGTGACCCGACATGATATTTGCGGAATCGCGCAGTACCACCGGAGCTGCACAGCTCCCCAAGCCCAAGGTCTTTCAGCTGCAACCACAAATCAGCGATGCGTTGGCGGGCCAGATCCGCCGCGTTGCAGGAGCCTTTCTCGATACTTCGTTTCAATGCCAGGTCTGCACAAAAAATGTGTTCCAAGGTGATGACAGAGCCAGGCGCTCCCCGCAAAATGCGGAGCAGCAATGGGAGTAAATCATCCTCCGCGTCGCGGAAGTCGTGCCGACGGTGCAACCAAGTTTGCTCTTTGGAAGTGACGCTGAGGATTGCCTGGCCAAAAAGATACCGCTTCAGCATGAATTGGACACTCGCAATGAAACACTCGTTGGACACAGTCGTGGGAAACTCATCCGGCAAATCACGCCCCAACGCACTTGGCCACAAATTCGCCACCAGGTGGTTTGTCAGCACGGCGGTGCCCAGCCAATACATGGCCTTGGGCATGGCCTCCCGAAAGACCGTGTGCACGGAATCTTTGCGAGCAAACAAGCGGCCAATCTCTTCAAGCTCAACAATGACCGCACGCTGTGCATGTGTAGTTTCAAAGACAAAGTCGGCTGAAGTGGTAATATGAGGCCCAAACCGCCGGATGATAGCACTAAAAAGCTGCTCGAGAATAGGCACAGTGACATCTTGCAAGAAGCCATTCCAAGACTGCTTGCCCATATTCAAACGAGCTCCAAAGGAAAAGAGAAAGCGCTGCACCAATCCAAGTGGTTTGGTTGCTGCCACTGGCGCCCACCAATTAGAAAGAAACAGTTCCTGCTGCAAAAAAATTATGTGAACATTTGTTTCTTTCAAAGTCATGCCAACTGGTTCTGGCACAGGGGCTGTTGGATCAGGAACCTTGTGCTTCAACACTTTTTGGCGGTCAACTTGGGTGCTGAAGCTAAAAGAGCCACCGTGGGCAGCATTGAGAAACAGTTGGAAATCAATGAACTTGGATGGGTCAGTGGCTCCACCGTTGGCAAAAGCAGGGCAAAGGCAGGCGCCAGCTTCATCCGAATGTATTGCCAGATATCCGTCACAGAAACGAAGCTTTTCGCGAGCCGCTGCGGAAGTGCTGCCCTGTTGCAGGTGAAACTGGTCGCCAGGTGAGCCCACGGTGAAAGCTGTGTTCTGGTGCAACGCCCTCTCCACAGCTTCGACGACTGGCCTCATCGCTGGTGACTTCCCTTCAGCGACGTTTGCAGTGCCAACCATCCAATACCGATTCTTGGTATGATACCGCTCAGTGAGTTGCACGCCGGCCCGCTTGTGCACCACTGCATTTCCGAAACTTTGCACTAGATCGATCCAGAATACCAGTGGAATAGCCGTGGCTCGGGCTGTGGCTTCAAGCAGGACGGCCAAAGGGTAGACCATGGTGTCTCCGATCCATGGCACGACTTCAAGAGCAGCGTGACTGTTCACATTGTCCAAGCAAAGGTCAGAGACTTGCGCCTGGTAATGCTCCGCGATCTTGTCCAGAGTGACCTCCGGGTCGGCTGAGAAGAGGGGAAGTTCAGAGAGAAAAGCACGACAATCTCCTGCGTTCTCAAACAATTCAAGAAGATGCAGGGCATGGTCACCCAATGCATCATGGCCATGGCTTTCAGGCAAAAATTGCGGCGGCATCTGCGGCTGGTGGATGGCAGAAGCAGTGGCTTGCAGCGTCTCAGTTGCACCTGTACCGTCCTGGCCAGGGAGCAAATCAAGCGGTGAACGTCAAAACAGCGCAAAAAAAGGACAAAGCCGACAGGTGTGGTAACCAGGAAAAGCAGCCCCAAAAAATGAAACCGTTCTGGCCCACCTCCGTCAAAGAAGCCGACAATGGAGCGCTGAAATCCAACGCATCACGGCCATGACCTTCAGGCAAAATGTCCGGTGGCATGGAGCCCTGGGGCAGGCCAGACGCACGGGCTGGCTTTGTACCTTCTGCACTTGGATGCACCTGGTCGAGGGATCAAAGAAATCAATGAACGTTAAAAAACGGACAGGATTGGCGGCGGATCAAAGAAACTAAGCAAGGTCAAAAAACAATGCACAAAAATGAAGGGAAATGGACTAGCAAAACGTGTAGTCGAAAGATCCCACCTCGGTCGGAGAAGATGATCGTGGTGAAATAGCTTCTTGAACTCGTTCATACAAGAAATACCTCGCATGAGTCTGTAAGTGTGAAGGGTCAGTCGGAAAACGTTTGGGGCTGCATCTCCATCATTGTACTGCACCCACACGTCATCCGGCGCCAGCACAAATGCAACATAGTGACCACGGTGGTAGGAGTCCCCTCGATGCAGTACTGCTGCCCGGAGGCGATACACGTAGTTTGCATGTTCAAACTCAGGGGGCGCAAACACAGCTGTGCGGTTCAGGGGCAGGCCAGGATCGGTTTCGCGAACGAGCTGTATGAGCGCAACGTCCCCCAAGTGCCATGATGAAACTTGATGCAACACACTTTTAACTTTGCAAAGTGGACATTCCAAACCTCCATCAACAATCTCCTCGCTGTGAGGTAAAAGCAAGTCTGTCAAGTCAAGGGCAGCAGTTTCATCAAAGGGTGGAAGAGAGATTAACGCCACTGGGTGTGGCGCAAGCACGGGCTGACAGGTTGGAAGTTCAATCGGGCACTGGCACCGCACCTCATGGCTTCGTGTTTGCAAATATTCCACTGTCAAGATGTTCAAGACTCCGAGATCAATGGCAGCAAGCTTTCCCAAAAATTCCAAAGGGTCTTGCTGGCGATCAAAAGTAAGCTGCAAGCCGCGCAGTGGCTCGGTCCACACCGGCTCCAAATCAGTCGCCGATTCACGAGGAGAGCTCACAGCATGCGTTTCTCGCAAGGCACACTGCCAGCAAGAGCTTCCACATTGTCTGGTCTGCTGGTGTTGAGAGATGGAATTAACTATGGGCAAGCATGCAAACATGGACTGCAGCAAGCTAGCCAGCCAACAGGATGTGCCCGAGACGTTGGGAAACACGCCGCGGAAAGAGAAGCCTGCGACGGAGCACGACGAAACGGACGAGCGTGAAGTCCGACCCCCCACGATCTCCAACCCCGCCTGCGGTGTTGCCGTTGGAAACGTGAGCTGCTTTGTTGCGACACTTGCATGAAATGGTCCACCGGAACGTGGTCAAGACTTGCGCTGCAGCAGTTCCAAAAGGAATGTGGGGGCTGAGGTCGGACACGCTGTGCACAACCTCGCAAGTCTTGACCGTTCTATATGCCTTTGCAAACTTTAAAAGGCCTGCAGTACCAACGGCTGCAAGCTAAGCATGGACCAGCCTCGAGCTCCAGCGCCGGCGCCATGGCGCGGTTGTCGGAAATCTCGCGCAGCCTCACGATGTGCAAACGCAACAAAACCAAAGACTAAACACAGTCATCAGGACCGGACGCAGTCGTCACCAGAGAACGTCGCCACGCCCGGGTGGGGCGACCCCACTGCTGCGTGTTGCCTCACACGAAGCAAAGCAGAAACAAAGACAGCCAACCCCGCAGGTGTACAATGACTAAGGCCCCGGCACCACGCTATGTCGAAGAACAGCCCGAAAGGACACTCCTGTCAAAAGTCTCATGCGCTGGCAACCGAAAAGTCGGCGCGAGCCACACCCAGCCTCCTGCGCTTGCCTCCAAGCAAAATCCAGAAAAGCATCATCCTGGAAGGGCCGAATCTCTGCAAGAACAAACCAGCCGAGCCTAGGAAAGTGGAGTATACGAGCATCCGATGCACACAGCGCAGCTAACCGCCTCCGTCGTGGTAGCACACGGGCCACGAGCACGGCGGCGCCTGACTGGATAGCAGGAACCGAGCATGTGAAAACCACGTCTGACACTGACGGACCTGTGCTTTTTCTGGGAGCACGGGGTGGCCTGCCGCGGACGTGCCATGAAGAACCGGTCCCACCCCGAAACGTCGCGCAACTGTGAGGCTTCGACCGTGCGAACTGGCTCCAGGGCTTCCTGTCACAGCAAGACAGCAACGAGCAACGGCTGTTACGCTGCTACGCCCTTACAGCTCAACATACATACTCTGCACGGGGCCTGTGGAACATCGTTGCACGGCACATGGATCCACCCCACCTGGCAAACGATTCTGTAGCAAAAGCGGTCCAGGCGTGCACGCACTGAGGCCCGGACAGGGGTTTTCAAGGTGAGGCTGCAGCCCCAAAACTTGCGGAGAAACCTGTCCACGTCGAACGCCTGGCAGCGCCGCGCGCAGTCATCGCAGCAGAAGTTTGCAGCGCAACGGGCCTCCAAATCGCAGTCAGGATCGTCCGCCCAACGCAGCGCCATCAGGGGAGCCTGGTGGAAAGCACCGGCACGGAAAACGGAAGTCAGGGAGAAGCAAGAGCAACTGCAAGAAACTTCTGAGAGTGCGGCAGTGGAATCTGCAGCCCCGGAACAGAACAAACTCTAGAACCAGAACTTGCAGCAAGGGAGGCACCAACGGACATGCAGAGGGCAACCGGGGGAAGCGGAAAAACGACAACGCTTGACTCGCACCGGCTGAGCCGCTGGCACTCGAAGAAAATGACGGCAGCGCAGCCTTGGCAACAAGAATTGGCAAAGCCCCACCGCTGAGTGAGAAGCCTCTGGGCGCCAAGCTCCGCGACCAAAGCTCCGCGACCCAACGCGAAGATGACGGCAGCGCAGCCTTGGCAACAAGAACGAGCAAAGCCCCACCGCTGAGTGAGAAGCCGCTGGGCGCCAAGCTCCGCGACCAAGCTCCGCGACCAAGCTCCGCGACCAAACTCGAGGAGGATGGCAGCGCAGCCTTGGCCGCGACCAAAGCTCCGCGACCAAACTCCAGAAACAGCCAGGCACGTTATTTGAGCTGCTGGCCGCTGGCGTTCGAAAAAAGTGATCAGAAGGTAGCCTCGGCTACAAGATTCCACGATGACAAGCTAAAGGGGTACCGGCGCAAAAAACACCGACCAACTGTCGCAAAAAACACCGTGGCTGGGGCACCGACGCAAAAAACACCGATTGCTGGTAGACAAAACACCGTACAAGTTGACTGTCTGGAAGAACACCGATTACTGACGCAATAAACACCAAGCCCGGTTCAATGAATCGGGATGAGGATCCGCAGCTTCAGGTCATTTCTCCACCGCAACCACTGGTCCTCCTTCCCTATACGAAACCTCGCCACGGCCGCCAACAAAACAATCCCCACGGCCACCTGCAAGAACTGATCATATGTTTGGGTGTTTGGGTGTTTGTTTTCGAGTTTGCATTCGGCTTCGTGGGCTCCATCATGTCCACCCTGGAGTGCCCTTCCGCTCCGTCCCAGCGCTCTCTCTGCGCGCGTCACAGCGGCCATCGCCGGGCTCCCGAACTGCACCCATCTTCCGAGGTCCACGAGGCTTCGTACCCCACAGGGAGGAACTGTACCTGCGGTGCGGACTCCTCAATAAGAGATGTGATGTCCAAGAAGCTGTTTTCAAGCCTTTTTTTTATCAAGCTTCTTGGACAGAAGCTTCTTTTTCAAGCTTCTGAGTGACTCCTTTTTAAAGCCCTTTTCTTGGTGCCAAAAGGAACCCTTGGTGATCCCCCCAACAACATGTTTGAACAGAAACAATCAGCTGCACACACATGTATATGAAAATCGTATCAAGCACCCTGGCTGGCAGGCAACAGTTTTCCATCCACCCTGCGGTTGACAATCTAACAGACCCTCAAACAAGTATATTACACCGAAAATGCTAGATAGTGCCAAGTATAGTTTCTACTTTCCCTGGCGGTTGAGCAAGTGGCCTCCCCTAGGCACCATGAGCCCTCAAGTATAGTCGTCGCTGGAGCAGCAAGAACGCAGCCGGAGAGAAGCGTCCAGTGAGCACATTAGCCCATCGTCTCACTGTCATACACTTTGGCGCAAAGTGCGTTGGCCCCAATACGCTCGACATGAAGGCTGTCGGGATGAGACAGAACGAATCACTCCGGTAACCCCCAGTGTCCTCATGGTGCCGGCCCCACACCCGGCCAACGGTGTGGCAAGAGCTCATCGGGTTTAAAGGTCCAGAACCCGGCGCCAAATCTCTTGCTGGGTAGGGCTCTTAGTTCCCGGAACAGCTCCCAGAACTTCTTTCGATGTGAGTCTTGACCGAAATGTTTGGAGCCCAAAAACAGTTCGCTCAACACCTGCCACACCGCCCAGGACATTCGACAAAACGGCACTGGACGGCGAGCAGCTCTTGCCTGAAAACCAGAAGAGTTGATGGATCGACTTGTCGAGATGACTATATTTATCTATCTATATCTATATATATATGCATATACATATAATCCCACAAGAATCGTTCTCCCGCAAGACTCATGAATGCCGGCTCCAGGCCATTTCTGCTCTTCCAGGTGAAATAGATCCACTGGAGGCAATGTAGCGGTACATCCTTTGACAAGCGAGCAGAATTTTGCGATTAACCTTCGGAATCCACCAGAAGGGTTAGGGGATGGCGCGAAATGATCGTGGGCTGAAACAGACTTGAAGCGGCTTAGCCTCAAGAGCAAAGTTGACCCAAAGAAACCCATGAACACTTAACACATGACGTTGGTATCAACAGCAATCTTGCCGTCTGCTGCACCATCCTGAACTATGCCATCCCAAAGCTGAACCGACAGGACCACCTCACATAGCATACTGCGCGGGCGCACACACACACAAAAGAACGCGCTCACGGTATCAATAGTGCCTGGTCAGCTGTAGGGCATGGACCTGCAAATCAATGGGCAAATGAATGAGGAGCTTGGGCAACATATGAAATACTCTGTCATGAGAGTGATATGAAGAATCAGATCACCCCACCCTTGTGCCCCCCTGGCATAACACCAAAGACTTTTGTCATCAACATGTTGCAAAGGGGCGAGTACACTCGGTGGGGTGGCTGAAGTCATATAGCCAAAACCAACCAGATTTGATTCCAGTTTGAGCTGAGCTGCGCTTGTCACGGTGAGTTCAGAAAAGGAAACAAACTGAACATAAGATTATGACATGATGATGCAAAGAAGAAACGCAAACAAAGAACATGTAACATGACCATGGTGGCAAGTGCGACTTAATAACTACGAGTAGAAAATCAAATGGCAGCGAAAGCATGCAAAGGTGTATCTCAATCATGTTGTGCCACCGCCAACTTGCAGGATGGAGTGCCACTGACGTAGGTCAGGATCCAGGCCCCGCTTGAAACAAAATACACAGGAAAGGGTTGAGTGGTCATTGTTCCAACCACCGTTCCACTCAGCACATCACGATCCAAACAGGGGCCTCTACATCCTCTACGAAACTCATACCTGGAAGACATCGAAAACACCCTCGAAAAGCGCCCGGACATGTGAGGCGTCAACGACCTCCCTTGGCGCCTTGCCGACCTCTTGACCCCGCCCCGCACGGTTGGTCGCCATCGCCCACGGCTCGACCCACTGGTGTCGTCGTTCTCCCCCCCCAGAGGGGCCTGTGACATGGAGCTGTCAATCCTCAGCGCACGGTTTTCAGGTGGTGAAGGCCCAACCGAAGCCACGAAGGCCCAACCGAAGCGATGAAGGCCTAACGCTCCGTCTTTTGGGATGTTCTGAGACTGTGAGTGAAGTCCCCGGGAAGGCAGCCCAACTCCAAGTGACTGCTGGACTCGACCTGCCTCTCCTGGACAAATGACCCTTCAACTCATGGAGCTACCCGTGAAAGACACCGTCATGCTGAGTCATACTCGTCCACACAAAGAACGCATCCCATTAACAAGCACTAGAGCCCAGCGACTACATGACGAGACTGTAGAATCTATAAACGCAATGCGCACATCAGAAGCATCAAAAGTCGTTTCAAGCTCCGACCCGCTTGAAGCTGCCACCAAGTATTTCAGACTGTTGCTGCTGAAAAAGCTCCCATGTGTCCCAGTAACTGGCCGGTCTCTCCTACCTGTACATACAACTCCCTCAAACGCTTCTCCTAGACATTTTGTCCTTCCTGAATGTTGGCTGTTGATTGGTAAACCCTAATGAGGATCCATATGGAGAGGTTTCACCAATCTACCAAAGGGGCTTAAACATCAAGAGTCAACAGCATTCCCCACATTGAAAACTCTCTGCAGCCAAGGCTCTTCTTTGGGTTCATTCCCTCGCCGTAAGCCATGAATTCCAGCCCAAGAAAGTTCGATCGCAGCTTGCCTGGCACACCAACGAAATGGCCCCATATGCCACAAGCGCCCCCAATTGGACGGACGCTTTTGCAACATATAGCCTAAGTCCTCGCCCTAAAATTCACACACACAAAGTGGATGGATGGATCTGTGTATATCTAGTTCTTGCATGTTCTTGCAATCGTCACGAGCTTCACAGATCTCATTGGCCTAGGAAAGCTTCCTCATCTTTACCGCTGTCGTCAGTCTTGGACATGGTGATGACCTCGGGCACAGATTTCGAAGGCACCAAAATGCCGGGAGCGATGGCGGATCGCTTCAAAGCGAGCAGATGGAGTGAAATCGCATCCACTGCACTATCTTCACTTCAAACCGTATGGTGAAAGAAACTTCTTAAGAGACATCAAGCCAAACCACTGAACACTTAACACAAAAGCGCACAAAAGACCTCAATATCTACGGAGTAGACTATACTTTGGCACACTCCGACTCACTACAGTAACATGGAAGGAGAACCATGGAGAATCCCTCCTGTTTCTAGCTGAAAGTATAGTCTTCTCTCGGGCCATTTCCCACTTGCATGTCAGTTAGTTGCAGCATATCTTATAGCCAGAAATCAAGGTCCGCAGCTCGTCCACGTCTTTGCTTTCAGCCAATGTGACACATGGTGACACATGGTGACACAGTGTCGTTCCAAACATCCGAAGATCTCCACAAAATGAGTCTCACAGACTCACAGCTCAGGTTTGGACCTTGCAGCCGCTATCACTTTGTTGTGTCTACTTATTCTACTGCTGGATGCCTCGTATGGGTATTAAATCGGATGTCTTATGATGTACTAGGTATAGGTCCAAGAAGGATCGGCAAAAAATGCCCTGTTGAAGTCGTTGTTGCTCTATTTGAGGATGGATCATGAAGTAAACAGACATGGCTAGACAGCAAATATAATATATACTGTGTGAGGAACATACATGTTGATCCATCCTGGTCCTTCTAAATATTTGGGAAAATACCACAAGTTGTCCGGGCGTTCGGCATATTTTGAGGTCTTGTTGTTCTTCTGCTTCTTCGCGGCCATGAGGAACACCTGGGCTGGTCACAAGGAGGTTCTGCAGTCCATCAAAGTAGAAAGGATCAGGTCTGGAAAGCATAGAAAATGGTTCATGCAACGTTCATTTGGTTTCATTCATTGTACATGACATGGAACCAAACAACTGAATTGTTGCAGCATGTTGCAGCACAGTCCTTACATCTATTTCTTGCTGCAATGATGGCCGTGCACGCGGACACCATCCCTCGGTCGGGGACACCGGGGACCGGACTCCAGCATCAGTCTCCAGGATGTACTTGGGAAAGAGCTTGCTGAGACCACCCTTATCACCTGGATCCACCGGCGCCTCTAAAAAGGGTCACGGGATCACAACCACCCGGGGTTTCGCTGAGACACACCTCAGGGTTTGCCTTCTTTTTCAGGAGTGGGTTCTGCACGGACTGTTTTCCAAACGACTAGACTACAGCTGGTGCCTTCTGGGATTGGTTGATTAGAACAACATTGAAACATCTTTTTAAAACCAGTCGTCCTAGCTCCTAGCTGTTGAAGTCGCGAAACACCAGTCCTTGGTCCTTTAACAGGTCTGTCGTTGCACCGCCAGCCCAAACTTGTGGGCCCAACAAAGCTGTGCCTCTCTGGTTTGTGGGATAGAAGACTAGTTACCTGAAGACAAGCATCTTTTTCAGGAAAAACACACACAGCACTTCTGGAGGTGTTTGATCCGAGAATTCCGGCCCAGTGCTGTTTCTCTCTCCAATTCCAAGTATTGGCCACATGCCCTTATAACCTCAGCTAGCCTGATTGGCTACGCGCTATTGAAATATGCTTCTCCCACGCACGCTGCCCTGGAACTCCAAAACACCCTGCGCGCGCACACACACACACACCTCATTGAATTCCATCTCAGAGATTCACAAGATACTTGGATTTGTTTAGTGACTCTTCGTGATGAATGATCAAGTCAAGCTGACATCTGGGCCTCCCCAATCCAAGATTTATTAGCCAATGAAACCGCACACGTGAATACATTGCACGAGCACCCCAGACTGCACGTGTTTTTCATCGCGACCGAGGCCTTCCCAGATTTGAGACGGCCCATGTGTGCCGCGTGTGGCGGAAGCAGCGTTTGCGCTGATTCAGGCGGAAGAGCGCAGCGAGCTGCGTTCGTGACTATGGTGGTGAAGAGCTTTCTTCAAAAGACTTTGATGGCAGGAGGATTGGGAAAGCCAATCGCCCCTACCAGCTTGTGCAAGAAAAGCATAGAAAAAGCGGTAGTTCCTTTGGGCTATCTCTCTCGCTGCACCGAACCCGCCCGGCTATTAACACACGTGCGCCGGAGACGGATCCTGCCGCAGGTCGCGGAAGAAGGTCTCCGAATTCACCGCGAGACGGCACACTCGACGGAAGTATTGATGGAAACCCTGAAGACGTGCCCATCTGAAGAAAGAAACAATAATTAGACTATCAAGGCCTCCTGGGAAGAAGGTTCCTAATTCAAGGAAGTTGCAGTTGAATGCCCCTCACAACAATCGCTCACCACTCCATGCATTTGATTGGGCCAATCTTCACAATCCACCCTTGCGAAGAACTTCATCCCCCACACCGCTCATCCCAGCTGCACCCGCGACATGCCGCGGTAGTAGCCCGGCACCGGCGTCAGCTTGGGGCCCTGGGAGTTGGCGTCCCTCAAGCCCCACAAGTACCGGAGCTGAGCCTCGTACCTCGTGCGGTCTGCGCGATCCGCGCACAAAAACATGCATTGGAGCGCGGAGTTGGTCCAGTTGGATATTCTTGGATCCTAACGTCACTTAGACTATGACTACTAGACTTACTAGACCGTCGACCGTTTTCAGAGGTGCAGCATTTTGGTTGTTGAAGGTTGATGTTGAAGTCTGGCTGTGAACATAGAGGGAGTTTGGAATGGGTTCTTCGAATTGTTTCCCCTTGGCTGGTTACAAATTGTTGGTATCTAGGAGGTTTTCGAGCTCAGCCCTGACGTGGCGTGGAGGGGCTATGGCTGGGCCATGCGTCACATGCGGTGCCTTTTTGGGGTGCAACACATCATGGCTGACCAGATTCGCTTTGCTCATGCAGCTGTCTGTTCCTTATACCAGCCGAGGTCAGGGTGGTTGTTCTGGCCCAGATCGTATCGGTCTCAACATCCAGCGACACCACGGCAGCGAGGGTGTCTCTTGGGCTGCAAAAACACGGAGACACAAAAGGAATGCCTTCCGTGCTTTTCCCGTTGCTGGACGAATCCAGATCTGCGAAGCGGATCTCCATGGGATGATGGAATCACCTCAAACATCGAGGTCATCAGACCCACCATTGATAGGCCCATGGTATCGGTCTCTCCAGAGTCTCCAGGGACCATGCTGGTAGACTCTTCAGACCCACCCACCGATCGGTCAGATGTCACCGGGTGGCACAGCGTCCGTAGTCTCTCCAGCGGCGGTGGCCACCAGGTTGTGGAAGTCTAACCAACTCTGCAGGGAGACCTGCCTGTGGGCTTGGAGTACCGGTGCGTGGTGGAAACAACAGAACAGAAAACACAAAAGAACACAGCTGGAAAGCCTGAAATAAATCACTTGGTGTTCACATGATTGAATATCTGTGAAGGTGTTTTGCAGTGTTCTTTCCACACATCTTTTGACGGCTATAACTCGACTAATCACTAATCAATCCATCAGCAACTAATTAGTTGCAGCATCTTTAGCCGCATAGAAGCTGAAGTCCATCAAATATAAGAGTACAGTTTTTTGTAGTACCAAATGAAGCTTGGACATTGTAAAATAGTAAAATTAGGACAACATATTAGGTTATTAGGAACAAATAGGAAGAAAGGAGTCCCTGTGTAGTAGGTTCTATGTTTTGCCTAGGGCCTATGTTTTGTCCTATTGTTGGTGGTATGTTTTCCTATGTTCCATCCAAATGGTGTTCCTATTGTGTTTATGTTTGTGTTTTTGGATCGCACCCAGTGGAAGCTTAACTTCCTCAACATAACACGATTGTTAAAATAACATAAAATAACAGCACACCGCAGTGCTCAGGCAACATCACTCTCCTTCTTGGATTCTTGGTACTCATGAGAATCAACCAGTCACATGGCAATCTTTAGTATGGTGTGTTGTGTGTTTGATTGTATAATTAATTCGATTATGCGTCTTGTGAGGTCAGGTCTTATGAGTATCGAGGAAACAACATGTTGCCATTTGCCATTCAGCAGGCACCCCTTCAGTTGCATGAAGAACGTTCCCGTTTGCACACATGGTCGAAGATATTCAGGGACATTGCCGAAGCTGCACCACAGAATTGGACAGCTTTGGTCAGCAAGGAAGAAGCCTGATTTTATGTACACGTACCGAACGTTGAGTCTTGTCTGTTCCTTTCCTCTGATTTTGTCTGTACCAACAATGCTTCTTCGGACTCCGCTTGGAGTCACACAATGTCGCACCCAATGACCAAATACATTTGGCAAGTTAAGATTGGGTTGACATCCCTATCTCTTGATCCACACCCTTTTGCGCTTGGCCACCAATCTCTTTGGAAACTCCACCCTCTCCAAGCACCTGTCACCAAAGACGGTCATCGCCCCGGGCGGAATGACCCTTGCAGCGTCGCTCAGGTCCAAGTTGGTCGCGCCTGCCTCGTGGTCGCACCACGAGATACTCGTGGCGCTGTCAGGACGTCCCTGGATGGTCTACCCATGGCCTCTTGCCGTTGGTGCTTGGTACTTCTGTGTTTTGCGAACGATGCATCTGGGTGGCAGGTACTTTCCCACGTTTGCTCCTCCTCAAAAACATGTCACATCGAATGTCACTGTAGATCGAGACCGACAGTCGCTGAGCAACCGAGCTGTCGACCATCTCGACCGTCTCGACCCGTAGCTGCCTAGCCTCCCGAGCTCCCTGGCCTGTGTCTAATGACCGTGTCTATTTGTATCGGGTCTTCCTGAAATGGATTGAACTCTCCATTTGGAGCTATGCTGGATGGTCTCCGTGCAGTGTCTGTAGGGGTAAAGCAAATCATGTGTTTGGTGGTTGAGTGGCATTCTTTTGTGCAGGGGCATCAGCCTGTCAAAATCCTGTGAACAAGGTGTCTAATGATATATGTTCATGGTTTTGGAAAGGACTTTGTCAGTTGCTTGTATAGACGTCTATAGGCTTTGTCCATGTCCCATGACTTGGTGGCGCACTTCGCTTCGT